CCGGTGAGATTAGAACCGCTGAACTGCAGATAACAGTCAGCTGAAGTGGCCTGCAGTACTGCACCCTAACCACTGCGCCACCTCGGCTCATCGTTCAACGCCGGAGAGCCCCAGTACGAGACTCGCACCGCTTCCATTTCGTGGGTCAGCGGCAGCCAAAAGTCGGGCTCCTTTCCAAGCGCGCCGATTCCCCCCCCCCCCCACACACACTCAGCGTTTTCGGGCGAGGTGGCCGCGAGCTCCTCCGAGCATGCGCCTTGCGACCCCTGCCCGCCAGGCCGGCCCAGCTTCCGGCGCGCACCCGCTTCCTCCTCCCCTTTAAGGCGGGCGCCGCGTTCCTCTTTTCTGCCCTCCGTCAATCGGCTCCTGAGGGAAGGCTGTGCGCGGAGGCTGCAGCGGTCGCCGAACGCGGGGGGATAAGCGAGCGGGCGAAATGTCCGGGGGCTGGGGCCGGGACATGATGGATTACGGGGACGGGCCCGGCATGTCCGGTGGCGGCGGCGGCGGCCGCGGGGGAAGCAGCGCCGGGGGCGACGGCCGCATCTACGTGGGCAACCTGCCGCCCGACGTGCGCGAGAAGGACCTGGAGGAGCTCTTCTACAAATACGGCCGCATCCGCGACATCGAGCTGAAGAGCAAGCGCGGCCTGGTGCCCTTCGCCTTCGTGCGCTTCGAGGACCCGCGGTGCGTGAGGGGACGGGACTGGGGGGGGAGGGGCGGCCTTTCCCGCCTGCGCCGCAGCACACGCGCGCTCGCCCTGCGCGGCCCCCGCCCCGCCCTGAAGGGGCTCTCTTGAGGGAGGGGATGGCCTTTCCCGCCCACACGCCTCTGTTGGGGTGGGGGGGTGTCGAGCGGGGCTGCAGCAGCAGCGAGGAGGCTCCCGCCTCTTCTCGGCCCCGGCCGAAGCCTCGCATCATTATGCCTGGCTGTTGCCGCCCCTGAAACTGAGGGGAGTGGGGGGGATTCACCGGCTTGGCGGGGAAGATCGCGCGCGCCGAGAGATGCTCCCCAACCCGAGACGCGTTTTAAATCCGCCTGTTTATACCGCCGCTGTTCTCTCTCAGGCAGAGGGCATGGAAGCCGTTCAGGAAATAGCCAGCATCCCCAACGGCAACAAGGCAGCCTTTTCAAATAAAGACTGACGCGTGAGTCTGTGTGTATGTGTGTACACACATATATAAGCATACCCTTCTCAGTCTTTATTGAAAAGGGATTGGTTGCCTTGTTGCCATTGGGGATAGAGATCGAGATATATAGATATACATATATATGCATAGATATACACTTTTCCCAGCCCAGGTGACTGACAGGAATTCCACAAGTAGGGAAGTCAGAGTTCTTGTTATAAGTATAATCTTTATTGTCATTGTACTTTAATACAACGAAATTGGTTATTAAATTGTTAATGTGCCTGTGTGAGAAAATGCAACCTGGCTCCAAAAAGTGTTTGTGTGTGCATCTTTGTTTGGTCTTGCATGGCAGTGCTGCGGCGAATGGCTATGGCAGGCATTCACTTTTGGGTGTATTCTCAATATTGTGTGGGGTGGTTTTTATATACAGTACTTTATACATTACCTGTCATTCAATATCAGTTTGGCAGGGCAGTTATGAAAAATAATTGTATATTCAATCAATCTTCAGCAATCAATAGAAATAGAGTGGGATGTGAATGGGCATTTGTACTATACAATGCAGCAAGGATATCCAAAGCATTTTGGGAACAATCTTGAAAAGTAGTGGTGGTGGATAATCTTCCAGCGCCAGGCTAAGCTTGATTTGCCATTGACTTTTTCGGGGAGTTTTGTGGTGGTCTTTCTTTCAAGTTCTGAACAGATTTGCCTGTACTGATTCTGTTTACCTTTCTCTGGATCAGCTGGGCGCTGGGACACTTCTACAGTAATAACAATAATAAGTTATGCTTCTTTGTTTTACGGGAGCAAGGTGGCATCAGTAAGCAGCTCATGGGTTAAGTCTAGTAAGTTTTGTGCCCCTTAACAAATAGACTTCTTTGGCCCATGTTAATAATACAAGAATTGTGGTTATTTAAAAATATGTTGAATTCTGTTGAAATATACTGTTCATATGAAATGTAATCTTGGAAATCTTAACACAGTCTTGTGTACATTTATAATAGCTGTGCTGTTTTTTTTCCACCTATCTTCACATTTTGACCCAGGCAAGAAAAGCATTCGGTCCCAACAGTCTGTTCATTATAAGAGCAGATGTTTTTCCCTACATCCATTTTGTCTCGACATGCCCTCCTCAGAGACGCTGAAGTTTCCATTACTGAATGACTTAAACTTCCATCATGTTTGCTTTCCTCAAACCTTAAATGCCCCCTCTCTTTTTTGACAGATTTGCTCAAACCATTAAGTTTGAGTAGACTAATGGGAACACCCCTTCCAACACACTCAAAATGGGAAAAATATGTTGCATTTTCTGTGTGCCTGTCTTCTGCATCTTCTCTAAAAAGGCGAATGTTTTTTGTACTGCACACCTCATTCTTGTTAATAGCTATATTCTACTTGCTGTACAAACTAGCTGTACAAAAAATAGTGCTTAGCAGTATAATTTGTTGGTGCTGTATAGGTGCAGAAAAGAATTTAACTCTTGGCATCCTGTTGCTTTGAAATGAAAACTGCTACTCTTTCACCACTACGATTTTCCTCTCAAAAATTTAAAAATAGGAGGCATGAGTACTAGATATGTTTGTTACCTTCACTTATAAGATTTTTATCCCACCTGTTTATATATAACAAAACAATTACCTTAGGAAAGTCACTTCTTTCTATTCTCTCATTTTCTGAAATATATTCATAGCTTTAACTTGCAATGATAGGAATGTTAAAATAGTGTTTCCTTTTTAGGCTATAAATTAAAGAAAATACAGAGTAAATATGTCATTTTTCTACCTTGGTCATGGTCAATCAGAGAAAAATAAATCTATGGCCCATTTGTGGCTAATGCTGTACAGATAGAGGTCTGGATATAGTATTGATTATTGTTTGAGTGGCTGTAGATCTGGGACATTCTAATCACTTACAGAGTGCTTGATAGCAAAATAGGATAATATGATTTGGATTCCACCCAATGGAAAAGTAACTGAAATACCTACTGTGGCCAAATTTTAATTGATTTTTCCCTTTTAAATATGATGGATGCAGTGGCTAAGTTGGATAGAGATTCAATTTAACTGGTTTACGGGTAGCTTCAACTTACGACCACAATTGAGCCCAAAATTTCTGCTACTAAGCAAGACAGTTAAGTGAATTTTGCCCCATTTTACGATGTTTCTTGCCACAGTTTAGTGAATTCCCACAGTTGTTAAGTTAGTGACACCATTGTTACGTGAATCTGGCTTCCTCATTAATAAGTACATCTGGCTTCCTCATTGACTTTATTTATCAGAAAGTTACTTCATTTGTCAAAAAGTGATCATGTGACCCCAGACACAGCAGCTGTGATAAATACATGCCAGTTGCCAAGCATCCAGATTTTGATCATGTGACTGAAGGGATGCTGCAACGGTTGTGTGAGAACCATTCATAAGTAAGCCGTTGTAACTTAGAATGGTCAGTAAATGAATGGTTGTAAGTTGAGGACTACCTATACTGGTAGTTTTTGCTATGTAGGTGTAGCAAAAACTTGGGCATGGATTCAACAGTACATTGTCAGGGTTCCAAGTAACACTTCTAACAAAAGAACACTCCGAAGCTTGAGTTTCCTCAAAGTTCCATTTTATTAGGGATGTCATATTGGCACATCTGGGAAAACCTGAATCTGAAAGTTTCCAGGTTTTCCCCACCCAAAAGAAAGTCCAAGTCCCTGCCCAGCACCCACATGTCCATTACATGATCCAATCAGGGACCATCCAAACTGGAGATGCCTCCCAGTCACCTCCTCACAGCTACAGGGCCAGTTGACCTTGACTTTCTGAGAAAGAATGTTATGACTACATAGCACCCACACTCTGTATAATCCCCCTTCCCATT